ACAACAACAACGGCGAAAACAACGAGATGATTGAGATGGGTGAGGACGTTGATAACAACAACAACAACAACAACAACAACAACAACAACAACAACAACAACAATAACAACGACAGTGAGCAGGGAATGGGGGAAAAGTGTGAGGTGGGTGAGACGGATGACACGGACAGCAACAATGACAGCGATAACAACATCAACAAGAACAAGAAGAATAACAACAGCCACAACGACGGTGGCGGCGACAACCACGGAGGTAGCGGGGCAGAGAGTGGTGCTTCTGCATCCTTGCTCCTTATCAGCATCATGGGACAGGCAGTGGGGGCAGGCACCGGGTGGGGATAGGATAGATGATCTCCCTGCGATGATTAGGGTTGATTGCCTCTAACCTGTCTGACCCTCGAACTCTTAATCACGAAAGGATTGTTGAGGATTACGCTTGTTATTGTTGGTGAATACATGCGCAAAATGACATCTATACACATCATTGCATAGGACATATATGCTTCATGAGCAGGAGGTCAATCCTTCCCCTGCGTTGGGAAGTAATCAGTGCCTCTGCTCCTTCACATATCAGCTCTGTGGTTTCACCTCATATCTGTGTCAAGGTTCAATTTCTGGATTGATCAATAGAATTGGGCTTGATGCCTCGCCTACTATAGGGCTATGCTAGGTTAGGGGATAGGGTTTTCCCTTCTGGGAACATGTACTAATCGATGAGTGAAGACACACCGGTTGGATGTTGATTCGTACGGATTGCTGTACATATACAGACCGGTTCTGAAGGTAGGACATAGCTACACACCACTGTATACTGGCGCTGGACCCATCCTCCAGCTGAAACACATCACATGACTGTTATACACATTACATCATGGTTAGGGTGCCGTCTGATAGATTAGATCCGGCTCGAAGCCTCAGTTTGGTTTGGAGATACTGTAGATCAGATGTATAGGGTCTCCCATCATCTGACATATATTGCTTGACGTTCACACATAGGTAGTTGGAGGTATCATCACATCTCTGCATAGGGACGCTGGACCCGATTTCCAGCAGATATCCATTCATCATTGTACAGGGACGCTGGACCCGATTTCCAACAGGTGTAGCTCCCCACCAATAGATGGAGCCTTCGACGCTGGGACCTACTTAACGGGGATGCTCTTATCACCTCGTTAAGTAGGTTTCCCAAATACGAAGTTCGAAAGAAAAAAGAAAAAAAAGAAAAAAAAAACAAAAAAAAACAAAAACAAGAAAAAGAAATAATGGGTGATACAAGCGGCCGATGGCTTCCGTCGTCACGCTTCCGCCTGCTAGACGCACGGGTCTAATCCACCCAGAGACGTAGACGCGACACAAACGACGAAGGCACGGGGGACAGTCACACTACCGTCTTCCCCCGAACATAACGCACCCTGAAAATGAACATATGCAGGGCATGTTTCCGTCCCGATACAGTCAAAATGAGGGTGCGTTGTGTTCGGGGGACGACGGTAGTCATAGGATTGAACGGTGCTCGACCTCGTGTAACGAGTGTGGGACAATGCTTAAACCACCACTACTTTCACAGGCAAACACGAAACACGAGAATACAATACACCGCATGCTTTGCGTGAACAGTGCTACAGAACCAAAATGGCTCGCGGCACCTGCCAAAAAAAAAAAAAAAAAAAAAAAAACGCCGCCCTGGTGCATCGGCAAAGCTTGGTGTGCAGTTCTTTTCCACCTTGGCGAAATGAGGCTCGAAGGATGACATAAAGAATACAGTGGTGCTATCCAGACATTGGACGAAATGACCTGACGACAGATGTTGCAAGGCCAATGCTGAGCACAATGCCACTATTGAAACGAACCAAATTCTCGTCAGGTTCTACCTTGCATAATACATCAATGAACATTCCCACGAGAGGTCACACGTGAGAAGCCAAAGCTGAGATACAATCAACACATGAGGAAGTTGTCTCCCAAAGTTGTCATTATATACAAAAGAAATGTTTGTCTCCAGCGGCTCTGCCGCACACACACACCCACAAACACATAGATGATAGAACTGATCTCAACCAGCTGACGGCTATGGCTTCTCTCTCCCTCGCACTCTTCTCTCTGGCTTGGTTCGCTCTACCTCACTCTCTGGTGGTTGAACACCAGAGACCAGCAGAACTCCCAGAAACCAGAACTCTACAAGTCGCAAATTATTAGCAGCTGATCGTGGTGATCGGCTATAATAACAGTGAATGGTTTCAGGAATAAAAGCTTGTCAATTTCAACAACAACAAACAAACAGATACGGTCTGGTTGGCCCGTTCAGCTAGCTCGAAGAGCCTGTTCCCGAGGAGGGTGCGTTCTGTTCGCGGGACGACGGTAGTCGGTCGAGGATGTAACCTAAACCCCTCACGCATGGGATATGCCCAGGAAGGCCTAAGCTCAATTGATGTGTCTCAGAGGCCTGAGCTCAATTGAGGTGTCTCAGAGG